AATATTCTGCAGAGCTTAGCGCCTCCCTCTTTTATGATTCCTTTAATAGACTGTAAAATACAGAGGTGTTTTAGCTAATTAGTCCATCAAGACTATAATTAAACGCTTAATTAGCGGTTCAGTCATCCTAAGTCAAGGTGACGTTACCAGCCTAAAAATGTATCGGGATGAGCGAACCCTTGTTTTGTATATCGAGATATCCTATTTAGGTTTTGTATAACATTACTGTTACTGAACTAATAAATGAAAAAATGAGACAAACATTATATTTTCAGTTCCATTGGTCTTCTTTAATGAAACTATTTTTTTTATATTTTAGGTCATTTTCAAGAGCAGATCACAACAATCTGTAGCAACACTTATTTTTTGATTTTTATAGTTCATATTTGTTACATGCAATGACTTCTGACAGATATTGTTATGAAGTCCTACTGTATCACAGGTCTGCCTGGCTACACATGAAATTTAAAACATGTCAATGTCAGGAGTATGTGTATTATAAGAATGGAATTACAAGCACGATCTTGATATCTAAATACCATGCTAGTCTTTGGTCATAATACAAAAGAGATGGTTTCTGGTCATAGTGCCTTCAATAAACTGGCACAAATCAAGAAATCTACTTATATTACAAACCAAAAATTGTGCAGAATAACTAGCCACATTAATTGGCAATGCAAACCTGTGGTAAATGCCACAGGGCGTTATAATCTACACTTATCTAATCTAATAATCTAAACTAATCATAAATTTCCTAGATATTTTTTTTCTTAATTCCAAAATATCAAATAAACCGAACAACATAATATTACTTATTTGTCTCCTGCAGAATCAGTACTAAGGAGACAGCATAATATTACTTATTTGTCTCCTGCAGAATCAGGACTATGGAGAACAACATAATATTACTTATTTGTCTCCTGCAGAATCAGTACTAAGGAGAACAACATAATATTACTTTTTTGTCTCCTGCAGAATCAGGACTGAGGAGAACAACATAATATTACTTATATGTATCCTGCAGAATCAGGACTGAGGAGAACAACATAATATTACTTATATGTATCCTGCAGAATCAGGACTGAGGATTTACATAAATAAAATTCAACAGGAGTATATGCCTTAACCTGTTACTGCACTTTGGTAACAATATGCGTCTTACAAGCAAACTAAGGAAGGAAATCATGAAAACAAATGATTAAATGTTTAAAAAAATGCAGTAGTTTTTACAAATGGCTTTGCAAGGCTCCATACTGGTGGTAATGTGTTGCTGGGTCGTGTGGGGCTGCTTTCATTGAACCCCGCCCTTCCTAGTTGATTTGGTTTTTCATATGAATTCATATACCTTACTTAATTGTGGTCATCTAAAGTAAAAGAAATCTACAAAAAGTAGCAAATTCTTTAGAAATGCCAATTTTTAGCATACATACTTGTAAATCTACAGAAATTCACAAATTACAAATTTAATCCAGCATAATTCAAATAACCAATGAATGAAATTATCAACTATCAATTGACAAATTTCAGTTATTACCTTTAGTAAGCTTAGTATCTTTATCAGGCTACAAAAATGTAGATTTTAACATTCATGTTTACCCTATAATATTTGATAATTTTATATATTTTTTCTAGCATATATTTCAGATTTGTGGACAAGCAATGCATTAACTACTAATTTTTTTCTTAAAATAAAAAAAATAAAAATACAATTTATTACCTGCCTTAATTTTTATAATACATCTAATCATTATACACACACAGTTTATCTCTAAAGTACAATAAATAAACGAGCTATTCTAAAAGAATAAATAATAAAAATTTAAGTTTTAAACAGTTTAATAGGCATCACAATTCTGAAGGAAAAGCAGTTACAAACATTGCATTTACCTTTATGGACTCTGTTTCTTCAATCCTAATCTGTTTAACCCATTACTTTGTATACACGCCTTTTAACGCCTTTTTCATCCCCCTCCCCCATTTTTGTTGTCTCAAATGATGAAAAGTGCCTTATTTAGGCCCTAAACACTTGATTTAGTTTGAGAAATGTTGTTAAAAGAAGTGACCTCATTTTCGGCGCGGCCCCCCAACCAAAAGATACATCAGGGGGTTGCAAGAAGGGGGATGTGCCCCCTTCTGTTTGGGGGGTTTGAAGGGGGCCGAGTCCCCCTCATCGCCAAGAAAATTTTGGACTTGTGAGAGGCTGTAAATGACCCCAGATTGATTATAAGGTAACGTGTAACCAACGCTGAAAAGCATTTGACTCTATCTCAATCCATTGAGAAGTTGCATCACTTTGAAATCAATTTTGATTGAAAAAATCAACGCAAAATAGTGATTTTTTGCAATTTTGAGATGTCCCCTCGTTGCCATGGTAACAGAAAATATAAGCCTGAGCATGTTGTTGCAAGGGCAATGGTCCAGTCAACATTTGTGCCAAGTTTGATTAGTGTTGAAGCAGTTTTTATAGTATTATAGCAATTTGAACTAGTAACAGGAGACTTTTCAATGAAAACAGCCATTTTTCACAAAATGCTCATGAAGTAATGGGTTAAAAATGATCTCCTGTATAAAAACTAATCATTCATGGATGTCAAACTATCATCAAAAGTATTTCATCTTCAAGTTGCAATAACTTAACAAATATCCATATTTAACAAAAATCAAACATGTAGGAGTTTGATGATGTCACTGATGATAACACTGGTGTCATTTGTGATGTCATTGATGATGTCATACATGTTTTCCCTTCAAAAATGCCATGGTAAAATAATTTCTAATATCACAGATATGTGCATAACAGCCTTTAAGCTTAAATATATTTCAAAATTGAATAAAAATTTAAAAGCTAATCTCTTAATAAAATTTAAAAGCAAATCTCTAATTAAATCAGTTAATGGATACAGAATTTTTTTCCCCGTAAAATAAACTTTATTTTACAAATTACACGGCAACCAATTCAAGTAACAATTATATGAGCCGCGTCACAACAAAACCAACATAATGGGTTTGCGCCCAGCATGGATCCAGACAATCCTGCGCATGGACGCAGTGTGATCAAGATCCATGCTGTTCACTATCAGTTTCTCTACTTGTTAAAGAGTTGTAAGCAACCAGCATGGATCCTGATCAGTCTGCGTGGAGGCGCAGGCTGGTCTGGATCCATGTTGGTCGCAAACCCATTATGTTGATTTTGTCGTGACGCGGCTCATATTTATTTACTTTGCTTTTTTGTAAGTACATATATAATGCTCTCTGTAATTAAATTTAACATAAATATTTTGATTTATACACATATTTACATTTACTCAAAAGTATCCTGAGCAATTCAAACTATCATTTGTTCAAATTAGCCATAAATACCTTCTATTTAACAATACCCATTTTGTAGGGTTTTAAAATATATCCAGTCAAAAATATATAGCTTTTATACTCGTATTTAAATGACATTTGTCTTTCACATCACAAGATTCTAATGCGATGGAAATTCAAAAATTGTAACCCAGTCAGCACTAAGAAATAATTGTTACAGTTTTGTCAACTGAATTAAAATATATACATTCCTGTGAGTTGATACTCTTTCCTTATGTATCATACATAGCACTGTAAATACCATTGTATAACACATAGGTGCACATTATTTAAGTGTACCTTCAGTTCCAATGTATATCAACACAAAGGTGCACATTATACAAGAGTACTGTAAATACCAATGTATAACAACACATATGTGCACATTATACAAGAGAACTGTAAATACCAATGTATAATCACACATATGTGCACATTATACAAGAGTACTGTAAATACCAATGTATAACAACACATATGTGCACATTATACAAGAGTACTGTGTAAATACCAATGTATAACAACACATAGGTGCACATTATACAAGATTATTCTAAATACAAATGTATAACAACACATATGTGCACATTATACATGAGAACTGTAAATACCAATGCATTACAACACATAGGTGCACATTATACAAGAGTATTGTAAATACAAATGTATAACAACACATAGGTGCACATTATATAAGAGTACTCTAAATACATATATTATACAAGAGTATTCCCAGTCAATTCCATATTGAAAACCGTTTTTATACAAAACACAAACACGCACACTTAAACTTTACACCATGATGAGTTCATTCAAATATACGTCCCTTCAATTTTTTTACTCCTTATTACTTCGTCTCGTGAGGTTAAGGCATAAGAAAGGTCACGTGATAATGGTATAATTTACGCAAACCCAGAAATCGTCAACGCAGCAATGGTATATCTATTACTTTTTCTGATGTAATATACTTGATTACATGTAAAAATGTTCAAATGGACAAACTAGTCAACGATTTCGTCAACGTATGAGTAGTCATAGATTTGATATAGAGCATTATCATGAAACAGTAACAAATGTTTTTGAACACTTTCATACCCAAGGACATGCTATCCAGGATTTCTCTTTTATGCCTATTGATAACGTAACTTTCTTGGAAATGGCTTTTAGAAGAGACTTCCTGGATATATCACTTGGATACTTTATTACCAAATGGAATGAATTCCGTCAATTACTAAAAAGAATTTTGTATTTTACTTAGTGTTTCACTTAATTCTTGCACTTAAACTGCTTTCATCACTAGTATAATGCATCAGATCGATCCTATGATTTTAACGCCAAACTCTTTGTGACGTTTTGACGTCGTTTCTTTTGACGTCATTCGACGCTGACATAATTTCCTGTTTATTGTTATATCTATTTATGTACCCTGAAGAAGGCTGTTCAGCCGAAACGTCAGTATAATTAGGGACTTTTTAAAAAAAAAAAAATGCAGTTGACTTCTTTTTTTACTATTTTTTGTTGTTTCAATTTTGCCAAATATTTTGCAATAACTGCAAAATCTATTCTTCAATGTCTTCCCTTTTTTGATTTCATATTACCGTAGAGAAGTTTTCTTATTTTTAACGATGAATTATTATTATGATTATTTTCAGTTCTTTGTCGACAACACGTGTAAGGCAGCGTCTATGTGAATTGATGGGAACTGACGTCATACGCCTAAATGACAAGAGGTACTTCCAGACGCTTACAAAGCGTCTACAAGATGAATATGAGGTAATTATGATTGTGTATTTGTTTTACATAGTTTAAAAGTCTGTAAGTTGTGTGGGGATAACAAACTTAGTGATGAATTTCATTTTCTAAATGAAATTGTTTCAAATTGGTAAATATAGATGTTTAAATGAATTGTATTTTGAAAATCAAAATATTGTTAAATAAAAGTAAATCTACAAATCGTTCAAATAATTATTTTGCACTAAAGTCTATGTTTCAGTAGTTCAAAATGAGTATTTTGAAAATCAAAATATTGTTAAATAAAAGTAAATTTACAAATCGTTCAAATAATTATTTTGCACTAAAGTCTATGTTTCAGTAGTTCAAAATGAGGTATCTGTCTTCTCTAAAGACTTATTTTTTGGCATGAAACTATTTAGTAAATGTTGATGTAACGTCATGCACCCATTTCGGCGGCCTTTAATCTTGAATAAAATTGCACAGTTATACGGTTAGTGTGATCTATAACAAGAGTACATGTTTTTTACATGAAACTATTTAATAAATGTTGATGTAACGTCACGCACCCATTTCGGCGGCCTTTAATCTTGAATAAAATTGCACAGTTATACGGTTAGTGAAATCTATAACAAGAATACATGTTTTTTATCCACTTTAAGAATGTGTAATTTTTGGCATTTTATTGTACAAGTTATATAAAGTAATATTTTCACACAAATAGTATAATAATATAACAAGAGGATTTTAACCACTAGTATACCGCTTTCATTTGTTTGTAGCTTAAGGGTTCGAACAACATCTTCTGGACCTTTGCATCATCATTGTCCCACCTTAAACCCCTTTTTGCCATTTAGAAAAAAATGTTTTCGGACACAAAATGTTTAATTTCTGTCTCTTCTTTTAATAAATATTATGACATTATTCATAATATCTTCGCAGACGACAATGGATAAGCAAGAGGACGCACGTGCAGCGTCCGAAGATCAGCGTCTGCGCAGACTGATGCTTGAAGGAATCATTGATGCCCCGAACGATTACAGGGCTGTCGTGCTAGGTCATGACAAGAAACAGAACAAGAAGAAAAAACGAAGGAAAATAAAGAGACATGTGAGTGTTGTCATTCCGATTGATTAACTTCCGGTCTATGACGTACTAGCATTCGTCTTTAATCACGAGAATTATACGAGTCCAAATTTCATGCTGAATGCAAACTTTCTTATGTAAACGACAAACTACGTCACATATTTCACGTGACGGAACACACGGTACACAATCAGTATGTTTTACATTTAAAGGCACATTTTGCCTCAGAAGCAAACATATCATTACTTCTCTAGAAAGAGTAAATGAATTTTATAATGTTTAAATAATGCTTAAAGACTGTTAGATGTTTGCCTGAACAATGTAGTAGTACGTGTTAAATGATAATTCATATAAGTACCAATATGTAAATACAGTAGTATTTTGACTTTCTTACAAAATACTTATTCACTTATTGTAAAAAAGCAACATAAAAATGTTCAGATTATTGGCCAATGGGTAACTTTTGTGATCCGAAGAAAAGATTATTGGCCAATGGGCTACTTTTGTGATCCTATAAAAGAACATCAAAATTAATTATCTTTTGAGAAATAAAAAGATTTCTGAGGCAAAATGTGCCTGATACATGTGACTGATACATGTAAATAGCCTGGGTTACTGAGAATAATTAAGAGGACCTTTTTTTCGAAGCTTTTTTTCCTTTTTGAATATTTGTCAAAGATTTTATGTTTAAATTTTGAATGGAGTTACTTTATTTCCTTGCTTGTATTTTTGTTTCATTTTATCATACCAGACGCCTACTCACGTGACCTACGATTTAGAATATAAAGCTTCTGACGATGAAGGTCAATCTAAAACACGGAAAGAGGTAAGTAAGAATTTAATCGTCTGCAAAGATGAAATGTTTATATTCTTACCATATCGCAGAGAAGATAAACGTAGCCTTACAGTAATGTCAAACATCGGCCAATATCGTAAAAAATCGGTCATTTCCGGAACGTTATTTTTCACATTCTTTGGTATTAAATCATTTTAAGCGTTTATAACTGGAACTTAGTACATATCGATAAATGATGAATGATTGTACAGTCTTAATTTAATGCCCAAGATTTTGAAAAAATACCGTTCCGAAAATAACCGATTTGCTACGATATTGGCCGATGTTAGATTTTTTTCATGACGGGTAAGCATTAGTGTAAGACTACCTTTAATACACGAAGTGCTGGCACAATTGATTGATACCCTGATTTCTTAAAACATCCGACAACAAGTGACTTTTTGCCCATTTTATAAATAAAAAAGAAAAAGATTTTTAAAACTTATTGTTATATGCGCTAGATAAGCCAAAAAGCATGTCATGCAAATAATTTTTTTTAACCACAGGACGTTGTCACTCAAGTAGAGATTTTATCTGGTTCCCGCCCGAGCTCTTTAAAGTCACGTGGTACCTCGGACGACCGATCAACCAATGTACCGGAAACAAGACGAAAATCAGTAAGAAAAGTCAGCGCACGAGAAAAAGAAAATGAAAGAATAAGTCAAAAATTGAACGAGGTAGGGCAGATATCTTGTTCGTTCTTCTAGTATTTTATTGTTCTTTCCTATCGCTCCCCCTACCCCCTGTATATTTATGCTTTGTTTAAATGTATTGTTAATATAGACACGTATTCCCTATATCCCAATTAAAACAAGCTTTTAGCAATGTAAATATTTTTCTAAAAAAAAATCTAGAATTATAATTGATGAACGTTTTGTTTTTATGCTTTAATGTTAGCTAGAGGTACTAATGTACATGTATAACTAAATATACTGGATGATTCTACAGTGAATAATATCAACACGTAATTTAACATTTTGCCGATGAAAGAGCAACTTTCCCTATGTATACATCATTTTTGTAAATTTAGAGATATTTTATTTATCACAAAATATTAAATCTACAATTACTCTTGGAAAATGCATTCAAAGATAATTGGCATTAATGATATATAATCCAGCTAGCTTACGGAATGTCGGTGGTTCTACTCAGGTGCCCGTTTGTGGCTGGAATGATTGACAGTGGGGCACCTGAGGTCTCCCTCTATCAGGAAAATCTGGAAAGTCGCCATATAATGCCCATAAAACCCAACCAAATAAATGTAACCCCTTGACTCAAACCTGGACCAGGATAAGCTGGGACAAGGTCAAACTTCCCAGAACACAGTAAGCGATGCCAGTAAATCTAAGCCGACCTTTTAAATTTTACCACGCTTCTATGGTCTTTGTGTGTAGGTAAAATACCTGCGTTATCGAAATTATTTTTTGTTTCAATCAATCTTAACTGTAGTTTTTTTTTAAATCTTGAAACAAAAATCTTATTTTTACATATTTAATCCTGTATCGAATCTATATTGTCACCTTAGTGCAATGATTGATGTACTGCTAATTGAGAAGGACTTAACCCGTTACTGCACCAAAGTGACCAGTAATGATTCTTTTTAGTCCATCACTTTGCAAGCATTTTCATTTTATCCACTCAATCAGGCTTAACCTTCAGTATCGAGAAGTTGGCACTGACATCGAAGATCGAAGATCGAAATTCAGTTTCTAGTGAATTTCGAGCTAGCTTTGAACTTCGAGCTAGCTCGAAGATCGAAATTCAAAGTAAACAAAAGCTGAATTTCGAGCTGGAGTTGAATTTCGAGCCAGCTCGAACATCGAAATTCAAAATTTTCAAAACCCGAATTTCGAGCTGGAGTTGAATTTCGAGCCAGCTCGAAGATCGAAATTCAAAGTAAGCTTAAGGCGAATTTCGAGCTGGAGTTGAATTTCGAGCCAGCTCGAAGATCGAAATTCAAAATTTTCAAAACCCGAATTTCGAGCTGGAGTTGAATTTCGAGCCAGCTCGAAGATCGAAATTCAAAATTTTCAAAAGTTGAATTTCGAGCTGGAGTTGAATTTCGAGCCAGCTCGAAGATCGAAATTCAAAATTTTCAAAAGTTGAATTTCGAGCTGGAGTTGAATTTCGAGCCAGCTCGAAGATCGAAATTCAAAATTTTCAAAAGTTGAATTTCGAGCTGGAGTTGAATTTCGAGCCAGCTCGAAGATCGAAATTCAAAATTTTCAAAAGTTGAATTTCGAGCTGGAGTTGAATTTCGAGCCAGCTCGAAGATCGAAATTCAAAATTTTCAAAAGTTGAATTTCGAGCTGGAGTTGAATTTCGAGCCAGCTCGAAGATCGAAATTCGAAATTTTCAAAAGTTGAATTTCGAGCTGGAGTTGAATTTCGAGCCAGCTCGAACATCGAAATTCAAAATTTTCAAAAGTTGAATTTCGAGCTGGAGTTGAATTTCGAGCCAGCTCGAAGATCGAAATTCAAAATTTTCAAAAGTTGAATTTCGAGCTGGAGTTGAATTTCGAGCCAGCTCGAAGATCGAAATTCAAAATTTTCAAAAGTTGAATTTCGAGCTGGAGTTGAATTTCGAGCCAGCTCGAAGATCGAAATTCAAAATTTTCAAAACCCGAATTTCGAGCTGGAGTTGAATTTCGAGCCAGCTCGAAGATCGAAATTCAAAATTTTCAAAAGTTGAATTTCGAGCTGGAGTTGAATTTCGAGGCAGCTCGAACATCGAAATTCAAACTTTTTTAAAAGTTGAATTTCGAGCTGGAGTTGAATTTCGAGCCAGCTCGAAGATCGAAATTCAAAATTTTCAAAAGTTGAATTTCGAGCTGGAGTTGAATTTCGAGCCAGCTCGAAGATCGAAATTCAAAATTTTCAAAAGTTGAATTTCGAGCTGGAGTTGAATTTCGAGCCAGCTCGAAGATCGAAATTCAAAATTTTCAAAAGTTGAATTTCGAGCTGGAGTTGAATTTCGAGCCAGCTCGAAGATCGAAATTCAAAATTTTCAAAAGTTGAATTTCGAGCTGGAGTTGAATTTCGAGTGAGCTCGAAGATCGAAATTCAAAATTTTCAAAATTTGAATTTCGAGCTGGAGTTGAATTTCGAGCCAGCTCGAAGATCGAAATTCAAAATTTTCTAAAATTGAATTTCGAGCTGGAGTTGAATTTCGAGCCAGCTCGAAGATCGAAATTCAAAATTTTCAAAAGTTGAATTTCGAGCTGGAGTTGAATTTCGAGCCAGCTCGAAGATCGAAATTCAAAATTTTCAAAACCCGAATTTCGAGCTGGAGTTGAATTTCGAGCCAGCTCGAAGATCGAAATTCAAAATTTGCAAAAGTTGAATATCGAGCTGGAGTTGAATTTCGAGACAGCTCGAAGATCGAAATTCAAAATTTGCAAAAGTTGAATTTCGAGCTGGAGTTGAATTTCGAGCCAGCTCGAAGATCGAAATTCAAAATTTTCTAAATTTGAATTTCGAGCTGGAGTTGAATTTCGAGCCAGCTCGAAGATCGAAATTCAAAATTTTCAAAAGTTGAATTTCGAGCTGGAGTTGAATTTCGAGCCAGCTCGAAGATCGAAATTCAAAATTTTCAAAAGTTGAATTTCGAGCTGGAGTTGAATTTCGAGCCAGCTCGAAGATCGAAATTCAAAATTTTCAAAAGTTGAATTTCGAGCTGGAGTTGAATTTCGAGCCAGCTCGAAGATCGAAATTCAAAATTTTCAAATCCCGAATTTCGAGCTGGAGTTGAATTTCGAGCCAGCTCGAAGATCGAAATTCAAAGTAAGCTTAAGGAGAATTTCGAGCTGCAGTTGAATTTCGAGCCAGCTCGAAGATCGAAATTCAAAATTTGCTAAAAGTGAATATCGAGCTGGAGTTGAATTTCGGGCCAGCTCGAAGATCGAAATTCAAAATTTTCAAAAGTTGAATTTCGAGCTGGAGTTGAATTTCGAGCCAGCTCGAAGATCGAAATTCAAAATTTTCAAAAGTTGAATTTCGAGCTGGAGTTGAATTTCGAGCCAGCTCGAAGATCGAAATTCAAAATTTTCAAAAGTTGAATTTCGAGCTGGAGTTGAATTTCGAGCCAGCTCGAAGATCGAAATTCAAAATTTTCAAAAGTTGAATTTCGAGCTGGAGTTGAATTTCGAGTGAGCTCGAAGATCGAAATTCAAAATTTTCAAAATTTGAATTTCGAGCTGGAGTTGAATTTCGAGCCAGCTCGAAGATCGAAATTCAAAAGTTTCTAAATTTGAATTTCGAGCTGGAGTTGAATTTCGAGCCAGCTCGAAGATCGAAATTCAAAATTTTCTAAAGTTGAATTTCGAGCTGGAGTTGAATTTCGAGCCAGCTCGAAGATCGAAATTCAAAATTTTCAAAACCCGAATTTCGAGCTGGAGTTGAATTTCGAGCCAGCTCGAAGATCGAAATTCAAAATTTGCAAAAGTTGAATATCGAGCTGGAGTTGAATTTCGAGCCAGCTCGAAAATCGAAATTCAAAATTTTCTAAAGTTGAATTTCGAGCTGGAGTTGAATTTCGAGCCAGCTCGAAGATCGAAATTCAAAATTTTCTAAATTTGAATTTCGAGCTGGAGTTGAATTTCGAGCCAGCTCGAAGATGAAAATTCAAAATTTTATTAATTTGAATTTCGAGCTGGAGTTGAATTTCGAGCCAGCTCGAAGATCGAAATTCAAAATTTTCAAAAGTTGAACTTCGAGCTGGAGTTGAATTTCGAGCCAGCTCGAAGATCGAAATTCAAAATTTTCAAAAGTTGAATTTCGAGCTGGAGTTGAATTTTGAGCTAGCTCGAAGATCGAAATTCAAAATTTTCAAAAGTTGAATTTCGAGCTGGAGTTGAATTTCGAGTCAGCTCGAACATCGAAATTCAAAAGTTTGCAAAAGTTGAACTTCGAGCTGGAGTTGAATTTCGAGCCAGCTCGAAGATCGAAATTCAAAATTTGCAAAACCCGAATTTCGAGCTGGAGTTGAATTTCGAGCCAGCTCGAAGATTGAAATTCAAAAGTTTCTAAATTTGAATTTCGAGCTGGAGTTGAATTTCGAGCCAGCTCGAAGATCGAAATTCAAAATTTTCTGAATTTGAATTTCGAGCTGGAGTTGAATTTCGAGCCAGCTCGAAGATCGAAATTCAAAATTTTCAAAAGTTGAATTTCGAGCTGGAGTTGAATTTCGAGCCAGCTCGAAGATCGAAATTCAAAATTTTCAAAAGTTGAATTTCGAACTGGAGTTGAATTTCGAGCCAGCTCGAAGATCGAAATTCAAAATTTTTAAAAGTTCAATTTCGAGCTGGAGTTGAATTTCGAGCCAGCTCGAAGATCGAAATTCAAAATTTTCAAAAGTTGAATTTCGAGCTGGAGTTGAATTTCGAGCCAGCTCGAAGATCGAAATTCAAAATTTGCAAAAGTTGAATTTCGAGCTGGAGTTGAATTTCGAGCCAGCTCGAAGATCGAAATTCAAAATTTGCAAAAGTTGAATTTCGAGCTGGAGTTGAATTTCGAGTCAGCTCGAAGATTGAAATTCAAAATTTTCTAAATTTGAATTTCGAGCTGGAGTTGAATTTCGAGCCAGATCGAAGATCGAAATTCAAAATTTTCTAAATTTGAATTTCGAGCTGGAGTTGAATTTCGAGCCAGCTCGAAGATCGAAATTCAAAATTTTCAAAACCCGAATTTCGAGCTGGAGTTGAATTTCGAGTCAGCTCGAAGATTGAAATTCAAAATTTTCTAAATTTGAATTTCGAGCTGGAGTTGAATTTCGAGCCAGCTCGAAGATCGAAATTCAAAATTTTCTGAATTTGAATTTCGAGCTGGAGTTGAATTTCGAGCCAGCTCGAAGATCGAAATTCAAAATTTTCAAAACCCGAATTTCGAGCTGGAGTTGAATTTCGAGCCAGCTCGAAGATCGAAATTCAAAATTTGCAAAAGTTGAATATCGAGCTGGAGTTGAATTTCGAGCCAGCTCGAAGATCGAAATTCAAAATTTGCAAAAGTTGAATTTCGAGCTGGAGTTGAATTTCGAGTCAGCTCGAAGATTGAAATTCAAAATTTTCTAAATTTGAATTTCGAGCTGGAGTTGAATTTCGAGCCAGATCGAAGATCGAAATTCAAAATTTTCAAAAGTTGAATTTCGAGCTGGAGTTGAATTTCGAGCCAGCTCGAAGATCGAAATTCAAAATTTTCAAAAGTTGAATTTCGAGCTGGAGTTGAATTTCGAGCCAGCTCGAAGATCGAAATTCAAAATTTTCAAAAGTTGAATTTCGAGCTGGAGTTGAATTTCGAGCCAGCTCGAAGATCGAAATTCAAAATTTTCAAAAGTTGAATTTCGAGCTGGAGTTGAATTTCGAGCCAGCTCGAAGATCGAAATTCAAAATTTTCAAAACCCGAATTTCGAGCTGGAGTTGAATTTCGAGCCAGCTCGAAGATCGAAATTCAAAATTTGCAAAAGTTGAATTTCGAGCTGGAGTTGAATTTCGAGCCAGCTCGAAGATCGAAATTCAAAATTTGCAAAAGTTGAATTTCGAGCTGGAGTTGAATTTCGAGCCAGCTCGAAGATCGAAATTCAAAATTTGCAAAAGTTGAATTTCGAGCTGGAGTTGAATTTCGAGCCAGCTCGAAGATCGAAATTCAAAATTTTCAAAAGTTGAATTTCGAGCTGGAGTTGAATTTCGAGCCAGCTCGAAGATCGAAATTCAAAATTTTCAAAAGTTGAATTTCGAGCTGGAGTTGAATTTCGAGCCAGCTCGAAGATCGAAATTCAAAATTTTCTAAATTTGAATTTCGAGCTGGAATTGAATTTCGAGCCAGCTCGAAGATCGAAATTAAAAATTTGCAAAAGTTGAATTTCGAGCTGGAGTTGGTTTCGAGCCAGCTCGAAGCTCGAAATTCAAAATTTTCAAAAGTTGAATTTCGAGCTGGAGTTGAATTTCGATCCAGCTCGAAGATCGAAATTCAAAATTTTCAAAAGTTGATCTTCGAGCTGGCTCGAAATTCAACTCCAGCTCGAAATTCGGGTTTTGAAAATTTTGAATTTCGATCTTCGAGCCAGCTCGAAATTCAACTCCGGCTCAAAATTCAGGTTTTGAAAATTTCGAATTTCGATCTTCGAGCCAGCTCAAAATTCAACTCTAGCTCGAAATTCAACTTTTGAAAATTTTGAATTTCGATCTTCGAGCTGGCTCGAAATTCAACTCCAGCTCGAATTTCAACTTTTGAAAATTTCGAATTTCGATCTTCGAGCTGGCTCGAAATTCAACTCCAGCTCGAAATTCAACTTTTGAAAATTTTGAATTTCGATCTTCGAGCTGGCTCGAAATTCAACTCCAGCTCGAAATTCAGCTCTTGTTTACTTTGAATTTCGATCTTCGAGCTGGCTCGAAGTTCAAAGCTAGCTCGATATTCACTATAAACTGAATTTCGATCTTCGATCTTCGATGTCAGTGCTAACTTCTCGATACTTTAACCTTCATAGTATGAGGGTTATGAAAAGAGAAAAAAACTCAATAAGACAGAGATAAAACAACGTGAAAATGTCGTATATTATAGTTTAAATAACATAAAAAAAATAAACAATAACAAGTTTTTCAGTTTGATATAACAGAGGTTATCTTTTATTTACATTTTTTCTATCTCTGGCTCTTTTTTAAATGCATGTTATTTTTTTGTTGTCTTGTGCAGCTTCACTGTATCGAACTTATTTGTGGGTAACGGAATGTCTTTTGCATGAAACACCCTTTCCGCTTTTAGTGTTTTTTTTGCACTTTCTTGCTTTAAATATTCTCTGATATATCATAAGATACTAGTACTTAAATGTTAGCTGAAATTGTTGTTTAAATCATAATATAAAAGTGCATTTTGTATAATTAGTCTCTTTTTGTGAAAAAATAGAAAGGCTTTACAAATTTGCTATGTATATGCATGATTTTGCCACATTTATTGTAAGCACCCATGTAACACAGATGCATGCTCGCCCTCCACATCATGACAGCGCTTTACGACCTACTTCCTCCTGTTCCTTACACCGGAAGTCAAGACAGAAAAAATCTGCTGCACCCAGGTTGACCAACACCGAGAGAGAATCAATTTCCTCTGACGTAAGAAGGCTTGCTTTTCCCTTATCCTGTTGTTGTTATTTTTCTTTTTAAAACGTGTTACCACGATAACACAACATGCATAATATGATGACACTCTATTAGTAAAATAATCTAATTTAAGAACTACTTCAAATTCTGTTCCTGTGGAAGCATCTTTTGTCAATAGCCGTCCGGTTAGCTCAACAGGTTGGACTGTGGATCGGGCGAACCGGGTTCGATTCCCCGACGGAGCAGTTCATATTTGTTGTGATTGATCATGAAATCTTTTCTACGGTCATTCGAACTGTGCCACTGCTTTGGCATGCACAGAAGTTATCAGTTTTTTGCGAAAGTGAAGGCATCTAGTACTGGTAAACTTCTTAACAGCTTGCCCAGGAACGATGCGGTGGTAGAAACGTGCTCTGGTGAATTCAATGCGGCTTACTCGGCCTGATACGGATAGAAAACTACCAACGCGTATTATGTCATGTAATATTTCCCAACCGGAAGTTATTGAAACTCCACGTCTGTTTTATTTATCCGATTTTCAATTATTTATAAATAATTACAGTTGCGCAAAGTTTATAATAAGGGAACATTTTTAATTGATTAGGCAAATTCGTGAACTTGGCAAAAATGTTAACGCTTCGTTAAAATTAAATTAAACAGGAACACGTATATAAGATAGCAAAAGATACTTGTACAACGTTTGATGATCAAAGTGTTTGTTTGTTTTCTTTGTAATCCTGCCAAAGTTTCCCTTTACGCATGCTCAAAAAAGACAAAAAAAAATAAAATATAAATAAATAAAAAAATAAAAAAAATAAATAAATGAATAAAAAAAACAAAACATTATAGCATTTAGACAAAGGTTGTCATCGTTTGACAACAACAACGACAAAACAATTACAGAAAACAAGTATGCCATAATGCGTTCTTTTCATTGCTTAAAACAATCATAGAAATTTAATGTAATGAAATATGTTATTTTATTACTTTTATCCCTTTTCAAAAAATTAGGATGAGAGCAATGCCACAACGACCGAGTTCGATACCCAGAGTCTGCCCGACACAGCCTACTTCCGGAAACAGTCTAAGTACAGCACTCATGAGCCTGAGAGAGTGACAAAACTAAGAACTGAAGAGGTATGGTTTATGAGAGCGTGTCTGTTGTTGTTTAGTAGTTGTATTTTAATTCAGTTTTGTACTTCAATTTTTAAAAAATGATTGGTTTAAACATATTTTTATTCAAGGTAATATATACATGTTAATAATTTACAATTTAAGCAGAAAGGAATTGGACCGAGAGCTACAATAGCTCAAGGTAGCCCTCTCCTACCATGTTCTCTCCAAAAAATGATTTGTATTTTTGTTTGTACTTTTAGCGGTATATTTTGCGGATATTTTAAACGGATGGTTTTTGCGAAAATGCCGTTCACACTGAAACAATGTTTCCACTGCATACACATTTCACAAGTTTACTTTGCTTATAAAATCAAATCAATGTTACCATGTCTGTAAATTGTGTGATGATAACAACTTTGGTGATGAATTTCATTTTCTAAAATTCAATATTGAAAATCGTGACTATAGGTCAAAATAATATTGTGCTGTTCAAAACATGCAATGTTAATGGTTTAAGTGCACTTTGTGTGTTTTCAATATCATTTTAAGCGAAAATCCACTGTGGTATCAAAATCACAAACTCTACTAAAATCTAAGAGGAAAAAATGTACATTTTACACAAGTGTAACATCAAAGTAAGATAGAGAAACAGTAGTCTGCTTAAATTTAATTGAAATTTGTACACAAAAGGTACACTTTTTTCTGCATAAAGTGAGCATAACACTTAAATAATTGTTTTCATTAATATGAGCATAACGTGAGCATAATACTTAAATAATTGTTTTCATTAATATGAGTGTAAACAAGATGTTTGACCTCCTTTTAGCGATCATTCATAACCAGAGCCCACTTTTGTTTACAATTTCCAAATATTGGTGACGTCGTAATAAATCAGTTAATAATTGCCTTATCCTTTTTATCATGATATTGTTTTGGTCAAAGGTGTATTTATTTAGATTTTACTGTGTCTCTTTTCTGTTTTAGACTGTAGCCAGACTATATTCCATAGCGGAGGAACTTATTTCACCAGTGCGCGTGACCGACCAGCCTCAGAGAAAAGTAGTTACTCAACCTAAAAAAAAGAAAATGACGTTTTCTCTAACCCAACGCTAATTGTGACACTTCTGCCTTTTTATGTAGTTTTAACCTCATGTATTCACCCATTGTTACTGCATTTATTTAAAACAAAAGAACAACTATTTGTTTTGTTACTTACATAAAATATTAATTATAATTGTTTTGTGTAAGAATATGTGATTAAGGAAGGGAAGTACATTTTGTAGTTTGGTCTGTTGATAAATATGTTTGGTCCAGTGATAAACACGTTTAGTTTGACGATAAACACGTGTGGTTCGATGATATACACGTGTGGTCCGATGATATACACGTGTGGTCCGATGATTAAAACGTTTTGTCCAATGATATACACGTTTGGTCTGATGATAAACACGTGTGGTCCGATGATATACACGTTTGGTCAGGTGAAAAACACGTTTGGTCCGGTGATAAACTCGTGTTGTCCGATGATAAACACGTTTATTCCGGTGATAAACACGTAAAGTCCGATGATAAACATGTTTTGGTCGATGATAAACACGTTTTGTTCGATGATAAATACGTTTGGTCCGATGATAAACACGTATGGTCCGATGATATAAACACATTTGGTCCGTTGATTAAAACGTGTTGTCCGATGATAAACAAGTTTGGTCCGATGATAAACACGTGTTGTCCGATGATAAACACGTTTAGTCTAACGATAAACACGTTTGGTATATTTGGTCCGATGATAAAAAAGTTGGTTATATAATTATACAAACATTAAGAAAAATATATGATGATTAATTTTTAGGCCACACTTAAGTTAACGATTTCAAGCGTAAGATCATGCATGAACTGTATTCATTTAAATATTATCATTCTATTTTATTACAAGTTAGTCACAATTTTATGCTTAATACCAAACATGTAACTTTGAACTGTAACGAAATCATTTTTTATATTAATTAAAATATTTTGATATGACATGCAGGGCAATAATAACAAATTAAAAGCTAAAGTTAAAATAAGTAATGTATGCGCTCTTTTTAACTACAGTTATCGTCTGCATGTATTACATTCTTTTGAACACTTTTCCCCCATTTAAATCAGTGTTTTGCATGTTGTTATTATTGTTTTTTCTCTCTCTCCAACCAATGGTTTTGTTATTTCCCATATAATAACATGCATGGGTTTGCCGGACTTCAATTCAAAATCTGTAACTTCGATTGCAGGTAGGTCTCTCTTTTCCACAATTTCACAGTTCTCTCCCCTTATACGAACCTATTCCTATATTCGTCAGTATACCTTTGAATTGGTTTACATGTATTTAAAAATCTAAGTTTTTTTGTTAGAACAAGAGTTTACTTAGTTGTTGTAATCACTAAAATCGGTTGCTATGGTAACATTTGTTGTATGCTTTGTTGTTTTGAAATATGCGAAAGTTACTAATATGTCTATTTTGTTATTTTTTTTGTGTGCTAATTTTGTAATTAATTTTGTTTACATAAAGTATGAACATTACGAATGGCACGTAGAAAAATTCTTTTACATAAAAATGTACTTTATTCATAGATTTACTTTAATGTCTTTGGTTCTCTGTAATAAAAAATCTAAGACTGGTCATAGAGAAATTTTAGACAATTTAATGACTGGAAACAAACTTTAATTTTTTCTTGTTATATAATTATTGTTGAAAATGTTATGTTGTCGTTCTTGACCGGAATTTGATGATTCCTACATTATTCTTTTTTTCAGGCTGGAAAAAAGGCATACTGAGTGAGTGTCAATTGCTGAAATGGTGAACTATGAATCAATCCAAATGCAACATTGAAAACAATAATGGACTGTTGATGTTTTTTTTAACTTTATTGAATACTTTTTTTTGTATTCATGTTTATAAAAAAAGTTCTTAAAAGTGCTCGTATCTATATAATTGATACTGTTGTAAATGTCAAACACAAACTGTGAGATATTTTGTAAAAAGTGTAATATATTATTGAAAAAAAAGAGATGAAAGTGTACATGAGTTGTATCTGATTGTTACCATAGTGATATAAAGAGAAATATGTCCATTTTAAGTGTTGAATATATCTCACGTAGTACATTACGTGATATCTAAAATTCCGACAAGTTGTAATATTATCTTACTGTTATAACATACATTTATCATATATTATGTACATTTTTTAACATGAACAAAAAGATAAAGCATAAAAATTACTTCAATTTTACCGAAACCATCCGTTGCAAAGTATAAGTCAGTTAGTATAGTCTGTACAGAGCAACAATTTCTTTTAACTTTAAGAAATGAGATCAAAAGATTTCAACAATATTATACTGTTAAGGCAGCATGCTTCCAGATACATGCTTATTTACACCCAAAAAATGAGATTGTTTTTTAGAGTAAAAAAATGTAAAGTGAGCAAAGGAAAATAATTTCCACATTGCAAACGCCACTTAAAATCCACGAAAAACCCCAAATAAGGTCAATATATGCAAAAAAAGCCGTTACTATGTTAATAACGCAGAAGTAGAAATATGGTGATAAAACTGCAGAATCTGTTTAATCGCATAAAAAAATGTAAACTATTTCATGCATTTTAAATCGTTTTATTTCTCGTAAAACCTGAGTACATTTTTCTCAAGTTTGATGTTTCTAAAATAATAAGATTCTTCTGGAGGCATGTAATTTTAAGAAGGAAAGAAAAAAGTATTTTCCAACAGTTTCTTTTTTTCCAGACAACACAAAAGCTAAAGCATGGGATTTTTTATATAAAAATCCTGTTTGAATAACACTTCGCTGTTCATATTTTTTTTATTTTTTTTTTTAAAGAAAAGCTTGCTTGGTTCTATGAATTTAAGATATAAACATCGCCTAGCTCTAAGACTCACGTTTGATGTGTACGTTAATTGAACCTCTTTTTGCCAAGCCTGCAAATCCAAGTTGGTCGATATATTTATGCACACACACGGTTGAACATATTAGTGAAATTAACAGAATGAAAATGGCAAAATATGCGAATTTTAATGAAACATAAGCATTATAAACCATCCTGTATTAGCTATTCTATTTTTCCCCGAAAATTCCTATGTTTGTGTTGCTTTTGTAAATTGACTGACAATCATTAATTTGTAGTTTTCTTTAATGACCACAGCTCTCTTTTCGATAGAAAATCGAAAAAACTCTTTGAGATAGAACATCGAAAACTGGTCGTCCAAACCACGTATCTGAAGAAAAAGTATGTACTTTTAACATTTCATAGCACGGAATTTTAAATTTTATCCTTGCTGTCGAATTTTAAAATATCCATTTATCCATTTTTATCGGAAATGTCGAACTCTACTAACTCGAAATTCGCCAATCGAATTCTTGAAAACTCAGTATGCTGAAACTAACAATTTTTTCTATATATATTTATAGATTTTACGTTTAGAAGAGTATGATACCGGGCTTTGTCACAAAGAACATGTTCGTGGGTACTTAATTTCGTGGACTGTTTATTTTCCAAAAGGTAATATGTAAATAAAGATATGCAAAATAATCTTACAACAGACGAAATGAAATTTCGTTGGATTTTTAATTGGTGACTTATCTACGAAAACAACGAAAAATAGAGCCCCAAGAATAATAATGATTTTGCAGTATGCCATGAATAGATTAAGATTCTCATATTTTTCATTGAAAGCTCAGCAAGTATACCAAGCCGAAGACTTACTTGTTCTTAATCTTTCGTGTTCCAGTTTTTACCTAAATAAAACGAACAAAGTAAACTGAACAATATAGTATCTTCAGCAAAAGAGAAAAAAACATTAGCTGCACATTGTAAACCACGAAAGAAAGAAAGAAAAAAGAAAGAAAGAAAGAATAAAAGAAATGTTGAAAGAAAGGGAAGAGAGAATCGTGTCCGATCAACAACCGACTTAGCAATTTGAGAGCTGCGTTGGTCTAGTTGTTAATTTCTTGTTCGGCATACGCACCTTAATATGAAGAACTCAACCTAGAATTCCATCCTTCTTTAAGGAGGTTAAGTAGTTTGTAAAATTAAATGCACTCCTGAAAAAGGCGAAGTTATGCACGTACAATTTTCATAATTTGGGCCAAGACTAGGGTTAACGTGACCGATACAGCTTTTATTATGTGCGATTTCTTTCATTTAAAATTGGTAGGTAGATGCCTGAAATGGATGATTTTTTAAATTTTGGACGGAGTTATGTTTCACTGGTGCTAAATATATATATTTATACATTTATCCTTTTAGTATTTATGAATTGACTACTGTGCATTGAAATGTTTACAAATGTGCAGGCTCGACTTTATTGTCGCCGTTCCTGGACAATTTCTACCCGAACACCGCCTGCCCTAAACCAATAAAAACGCATGATTTAATACCACATGATATCAAAATGGACGACAATAGACCTCAAAAAAGTTTCAGTTTCAGTTTTTATTAAACCAAGGCATATAATATGCAACTGGTTATAACAACAAACAAACAGAAAAATAACAGTCAAAATCACTAATATCACAATATAAAAATACAATTATGACTAGCTTAATAAACAAAAAGGAGATCATATTGTTCATTTCAAGTTCTGAATTCAATACAACATGTATTTTATATTGTAACAAATGAGAACGGAGAATGAGAAGTATTACTTATCTAAATTTTAACATAATGTTTTTACAAATTAAAGATAATTTTAGAAGAATATTTTTATCACAACTATTCATTAATGTGTCAAATTTGAAAATATTGGGATGAGTGTAAAACCTGGGAAGAAGAGATTTACGCCTTATGTCATTAAAGTACGAACATTCAAATAAGTAGTGAAATTCATCACCAATAGCTTGATACGGACATAAGGAACAGACCCTATTATTATGATCAATTGCCAAATGTCTGCCTTTTTCGATTGGTAATAGGTGATTCATTGTTCTAAATTTACATAAATATTTGCCTATGTCAAAAGGAAGTACATCTAGATATTTTTCAAAACAACGAGTATTTTTATATGTACGATACACTAAACACTTAGAGGATGTATCAATAGTACTATGCCAATCTTGTAAAAATTGATCTTGTAGTTTAAGCTTCACAACATTTTTAAAGTGATTAATATTATCTACCTTCTGTAAATGAAAATATTCTGACATGCCAAGATTACTAAGTGTTTCTTTCACAAAATGTATCCATTTAGAATTAACAAT